AAATCTAATTTATATTTAATGATAAAATTCCTTTCTTTAGGTATCTGGCCGGTATATCGATAAATACCAAAACGTATTGCGATAAGATATTTTTGTCACTGTATTGCAATATGCCGAAATATAGATATTTTTCCCAGCTTTAATTTACGACGAATTTTTCCGTTATTTCCCGATCATGACAAGGAGAACAAGGGGGTATCTTTGTCTCCAGTGAATGTGGTTCTTTAATGACTTCTCAGACTTTGACATTCATAGATATATATAGACGTTGTATTATAAATTAACAATATATGTCAATTCGAACTAAAAAAAAAAACCAGAATCTGCCACATCTGTTTCTTACCTGAAGGTTTCACTGCATGACAATAGACGAGAAAGGTCAACTTGCAACTAAATTGTATCACAAACCAAATGATTACAGCTTTTCAAGCGTCAACTTTTCTTATTTATGTAATGATATTCCGCTAACACTTGCATGAACTGTTGTCTTTTGGGCGGAAATGAGAAACTTTTTGAAGTGAATTTCTCCGTACTTTGCATATATATTAATAATCATATGTTATTTTGTATATTATATTTATAATCTAATATTATATTTAAATATAATTTATATCAAACAAAAATATTGGAATATCGCATGTACATCATGTACATGACCCAGCTATATTTAAGGAATAAGTTTAGTAGTTACCTCTTTTATACGGTTTAAACTGGGTTGGGGCAGCTTACGCTTTACATGTATAAACCGCAAAACGGTTTATTAAAAAGCGTAAACTGTTCCAACCCAGTTTATACCGTATAAAATAGGTAGCCATTAAATACATCCCTTATAAATTTATTTTCATTCATTTGGTGTAAGAAAAGAATATGATTGTCCTTAAAAAATGACTTTTGTACAAAACTGAAGTGTAACGTCAGGCGGATTGATACGTTTTTGACGCAAGTCATTGTGACGTAGGCAACCCATTTTATACGATATATAGTATTTTTTTATCCAATCAAATACAGCGTTACAACCAAAATTAAATTATATACACGTACAAAAAGTTTTCTTTAATTTCATATTCATGTACCTTTGTCATGTCGCCGTGTGACGCAGTGGTTAGAGCATCTGTACTAGAGTCGCGGAGTAAGGAGTTGTCAATAACCCTTACATCGCGGATGCGAATGCTACTGTGGAACGTGGGAACCGCTCCTTCGTATGAGACTGTATAAACCGAGATCCCGTTTCGCAGTAGAAGCTGGCATGAAAAAAAGATCCCTCACTGCTCAATGGCCGTAAGTGTCGAGTATAGGAGAAAATTTGCAGCTCTCCACTGCCCATGAGTGAAAAATTTTCGAAAGGGACGTTAAAGAACAAACAAACAAAAATCTTTGTCATTTATTTAGAAGCCCATATGATATTTACAAGTCTGCAGAAAGAAACCAACCATGTTGATACTAAATGTGGTTATCTGAGCGTGATTTTGAATTAAACTTACTTTTATCAATGAGAATCAAGAACAAGAGGCCCATGGGCCACAAGGCTCACCTGAGTAACTTTGCATTTCTTCACAAAACTTTGCCCCCTTGTAATACCTATTGTGGCCCCACCCTTTTCCCGGAGGTCATGATTTAAACAGTTTAGAATCTATACTACCGAAGAATGCTTTCACACTAATTTAGTATTTTTAACTCAAAGGTTCTTGAGAAGATTTTTAAAGATTTTTCCTTAGTATATCACTATGAAACTTTCAGTTTTTCTCGCCCAGTGGTTCTTTAGAAGATATTTTAATGATCTTATCAAGTTTTTGAATTTCCTTGATTATCTCCACTTGTAAGGTAGCTTGGCCTTTCATTTTCACAATTAAAACTTCTTTTACCCACGGATACTTAGTGCCAATTTTTGCTTAAATTTGCCAGTAAGTACTTGGGAAGAATTTTAAAAAATGAAAAGTTAACAGACGAACAGCTAGACGGATGGGCAAATGAGTGATCAGAAAAACTTACTTAAGTTTTCTGGTTGGGTGAGTTAAAAAGCAGCAAAACATTCATATAGAAGCATGATGTTACAAAAACAAATCACCCTACAACATCTAAAACTATTCATGGAATCAAACTAACAAATACGAATAAGGTTTATATGGTATGAAAAACAGATCATAATAAAACATTAAAAATAAAAGAAAACTATTTATCATAAAAGAACAAATCGTAATCTTTAGACTCGTTTTTTTTTCCTGAACTGTATCTTTCTTATGCATCAATTATGAGCTTTTGTTATATATCAAATTCAGCACAATAAATATAATTTAAGATGAATTATAAACTTGCAATTCTTTGGAATCATCTTAATTCGTGGGAGTCAATGTTCGTGCGTGAGTAAAATTTGGTTTGTTCGTGGGGACGTTATTTCGTAGGTAGCTCGTGAATTCAGAAGATTAAATAAATAGATACATTTGTATTGACAAAGATTATTTTGTTCGTAGGGGTGTAATTTCGTGGATAAAAGTGCCATAACGAAATCTACGAAAATTGGCTCCCCACGAATAATGATGATTCCTGTACTTTTTAGGGATTTGTGAAAATTTCGAAAAACTCTTTTTTTTTTTGCAAACCCAACTTGAACTCGTTAATCAAATACATGTATTAATTTTTTAAAATACAAAAAACTGTAAATATAGTTGTTATCAAACCTTAAATATTCTGGTATCAATACAGTAAGCATAAACTAATAACAAGTCTTGTATGGTCAGAATATAATTCTTTTAGCCGTTGAAGTGTCTACAATACATAGCATTTTTATACACAAAAATCATATAAAAGTAAAAGAAAAAACAACCAGTTTTGTTATCAAATGGAATTTCATGACTTTGGTTCGCCGGCATATTAGTTTAATACCTCTTTAGAGAAAAGCTATAACAGTTAAACTCGATCTTACAAAGTCCCATTGAAGTTTCAAATAATGCAGTGCACATGAGTAAACGATAAAAACACGTCATTCGACACAATGGAAGGATTTTTAAAGTGAGTGATTATGCATCTGGTGTGGAAAGTCTCAAAGCTGACTTCAGATTACTTATCTCTCATCACTCATTTCTTTTAGGGCGTCGTCAAGAATCTTCAAAATACGTTCATCCTTTGTTTGTTCTCTGTACTTTCTGATACTATTCTCAGTTATTTTGAGGGCTGTTCTATACCTCTCAGTAACAAGGGTTTTTATGAGTTCTATATTTAAATGATCGATTGCTATATTTAGAATAGAGTATCCTTTTTTCGTTCTGGCTGAAAGTTCCATTTCACGATCTAGGAACATCTCAATTATATCCACCTCACTACCATCGCCTTTACTCTCAACAGCAAGATAATGAGCAGCGGTCCAGCCATGTGTTTTTGTCTCCTGATCTAAAAGTTTCCTGTTGCATTCGTAAAACCTTTCGGTTACAAACTTGCAGATTTCCACGCGTTTATGGATGCATGCAAGGTGAAGTAGTGTTTTTCCTTCATCTGTCAGAGACTCGAAGTCAATTCTATTAGTTTTTAGCAATTCTTCGAGAATATCTAAATCGCCTCCTTTTGCGGCAAAGTGTATAGCATTCCATCCTTTGTCATCTTTGCAGTTCAAGAGTGATATGAAATATTCGATTAAGTAAGAAACAACATCTTTACTGCCATATTCACATGCAATATGCAGAGAAGTTTTACTCCCGTTAGTTTTGGATTTGAGCAGTTGTTCGTGTTTGTTTTTCAGAAGTTGCATAACCTCCACATTATTAGACATTGCAGCATAATGAGCAATGTTCCAACCACTTGCATCCACCTTTTCTATATCAATTTCTTTTTCATTTTCTATAACATGTCTACAGAAATCATTTTCCTTTTTCATGCATGCAATGTCTAAAATGCCTAGACCATTCTTTGTTAACTTCGTCAAATCAACATAAGCTTCCTTCAAAACTTCAAGGATCCTTAAATCTCCATTCCATGCAATCCAGTGAAATGGCTCAAATTTACCCGTCCTAATAGACGCATTTTTGTTTTCTTCCATTGAACTTGATTGATCTACTCCATCCGTGCTTTTTATAAATGTTTTCCCGTGTTGTGTAATAAGATATTCGCTCATATCTTTTCGCTTATATCTTATAGCAAAATGCAGTGCATTTTGACCCTGGTGACTTTCGTTTTGAAGTCTTGCTTCTGGATCAGTTTTTAAAATTGTTTTAAGTATGGTGATTGATCCCCCTTGAGCTGCATAATGCAATAACGTACATCCATGTACATCATATTGATGAAATATTTCATTTTTCTTTTTTGGTATTACCTTAGATTCAACGAGATAATTAAAACCAACATATACGCCATTGAGACATTGTCTTTTTAAGAGATCAAAAAGCTGTGCATCTTCTACTGTGAAATCGACAAAAATGTATCTGCCTTTGTCATCTGTAAAAATATAAATCAAAATCATATATGTAGAAAATTAATTGGTGGAGTAGGCATATAGAATATGAAGTCACAATCTTCTTTGGTTCAAACGTTATCATGGTTATGGCAAAAGTTCAAAATAGACATTTTAGCATAAGGTCACAGTCGAGGTCACAAGGTCATTGACCTTTGGTGTCACATGAAAGAGCTTAATTAGTGGAGTATGCATTCAAAATATGAAATCTCTTTTCTTTAGGTTCCAAATTTATGGTGAAGGTTAAAGTTGACAACAGACAAACAGAAAGATAGGGCAAAAACAATATACATGTACGCTCCGGATCTATCCGGGTGCACGATAAAGAGTGATGAAATGTCAAACTAAGATTTACATATGTACATATAAGAAAATACAAGGACATGCAGCTATGATTAGGCAAGGGAGAGATACATGTAGCATGACAAAGCTGCCTAATTTTATCTTAAATATTTAACACATTTCAAAAAGAAATTGTTACTTTAGGAAGTTTCATTAAATACATCTGTTTGCGATTGAAACGTATTGAGAAATCCACACTGTATTACATTTAATAAATCCTGAATGTTTAAGTAAGAGGTAATAAATGCATCTTTTTAAAAATATATACATACACGTAGTCACACAACGGTTATATTTAAATTTTCTGATAAAAGGCATAAATAGCATAGGTATTAGTTGATGTATCAAAAAGGTTTTATAACTATCTTGAACTCAGTAAATCTAAATTTATGATTGTACATTATAAAACTTTTGAATTTGTTCATTATTAAAACGACAGTTACTTGCAATGCCATGATCTCTCTTCAATGAGAGTTTGTCCATATATTTTTCTCCTTTGTTCAGTTTTATCAAGCAAAAATAAACGATGTACATATAGATACCTTCCATGTTTAAATGATCCGATCTCATGTTTTCACTTTCTGAGTTTATTCTCCCTGCAAAATGAATATTCATAAGAAAAGCAATATATAGAAACAGTGGAATAATCGCATTTTATTCAGAAATCAAAGGACAAGGTATGGTTTCGACTGAATCTGACCCCTTAAACATGTATGTACATGTAGTAAAAATCAAAAAACACAGTTAAAATCATTATAGTCATTATAAAACTGTAACTAAAAGTGTAACTTGTTTTAAACCAGCACAAATTTTGAATTAGAACTAAGACAGAGGGCAAAATGGGTGCAGATATTAGTTCATTTTTTCAGAATTTTTTCAGTTCTGCTGAAATTTTGTCAAATTTAAGAAACTTTTAAATTCGGAAAAAAGAGCACAAGCTTGCCTATCTGAGATTTTAATACACAAGATGTATCTGATACTAGAGTATGAAATATATAAATTTTGTAGATAGGGAAATTTGTGCTCTATGTTTTCTAAAGCAAAAATATGATGCAAAATCGATGAAGATTTGCATAGAAATGACGTATTCCCCGATCTTCCTCTGAATTTTGTATATCATGTAGCTTAGATCGAACAAGTACTCAATTTGTGGCAAAGGAGATAAGAGAATTTTATTGAGAAACTGTTGCGTAATTATAAAAGACACCCAAAGCTCGGGACAAAAAGGGGTCTTAGTGTATCCTGTCCTTTGCTAAAATTGTGAACAAAATTAAAATCTTACTCTTAAGAAGTGGATTTTCTTCATAAGTCAAGTTTTGCTTTTTTTTCTCTGAAAAAAAATCCCAGGAATTAGTACATATACACATGTTTACATGTACAATGACTTCGCTGATAGATTTAAAAAATGTCATGAAAAGGGTAAAGAAAACCAACAATAATCGATCTTAAATAAAAATATTAACAATACAAAAGTGTGAAAAGGGCACCCTTGAAAGCTCAAGAGATTAGATCAGATGCCTAGGAGGAGTTAGTATCCCCCGTAGACCGATCATGCCACCGTGAGGCTTCTATATTGATCAGATAAACAAAACAACCCGTAGTAAAATTCAGCATAAAATCAAAGGACTTATATGTCTGTCCTAATACCAGAATCCATGGCCCAATGTCATGAAATTTATAAATTTGAAAGAGGTACCCTCATCATGTCTACTATGCAATAAGTTGAAGATTTTCAAATAATTCCCACATTTTTTTTACTACACTATCATAGAGCACACACCCCTCGGAGAAACATTAGAACCCCTGAAACAACAAGTTTAAAAAATATATATAAAAGCGCCCTTGCTCATCAAAATAAACACTGATTTTGTTTCTTTACTTTACAACCAGGAGTAGTAAAATTATTTTGAAATAAATTATGCATTTTCACAATATAATCAATTGAACCCCCATCATGATCAGAACCCCTTACCCTTGGGCCATGAATATCAAAATTTTGAATATCGCATTTCTGCTTATCCACCATGTTCCCTTTGATTAAATACTAGTAATAACCAAGGGCAGGGGAAAATAATTTCAAACAAATAATGCGTTTTCACTATATAATCTGATATATATTGATTAAATCAATAGAGCCCCACCCTTACATGAGAACGCCTGACCCAGCGGCCTTAAAATTCACAATGGTGGAAGAGGCAGACATGGTCAGCATAACTATTTACTTCAGTTAATTTATTCAATACCCATGAGCAAAGAAGATTTAATGTACTATCAGAGCCCCACCTTTACACCAGAACTCCTGACCCTGAGGCCATGATGAGGCATTTTTGCTCATCATCACTATGTACTAAGTTAGCTTGTTCAATACCCAGGAGCAGAGGAGGACTTGTCAAAGAATTAAGGCATTTTCACTGTATAATCGGTAAGTATGTGCCGGATGCTTATTACAATAATGTCAAATGTAGAAGATTTTTAAAGATTGCATTAACCAGGGTGATAGGGACCATGACATTCAATATTGTTTTTCCCCTTTAATCATAGATACTATATGCCAAAATTGGTTTAAAGAGCAAGAGCCATCTTATGCATAAAATAGCCCTGTACTTATATCAATTTATTAACTATCACCCTCTTTCCCATTTCATATATCAAAATGAAGTAGACATTTGGTGCTTTCATTTTCTATAATAAATTTCGTTATGAGAATCCAAAAAACAGATCTGAGAAATTGCAATGTTTTTGAAATTTGCAGAAAACATGCGTATTTGACTACCTTCAGCAGAGAATTAAAATATGAGCACAGTCCACAGTCGAAAAAATAAATTAAACATGTTTTTTGATCTTCAGAAACAGAGTTTTCATTATGTATTCGCATATTTTGGATCAGAGGTTGTGCTCTATAAGAAATATTGAAAAAAATGCTTCAACCGGTCATTTTCAAAGGAATTTACAGAATATGAGATATACGACGCATTTAATGACGTCATGATGCATCGAATAGATGGGAAATTACGTCACGATTAATTAATACGTGGTCACCAACACTCCAAGGGATAAATACTGTATTTTCAACCTAAACTGAACGGTTTCGATTTTTCAGAAATTCTCAGGGCCAAATTAGGTCCAAAGTGGTTCATGCTCTTTGTTTAGCTGAAAATGTTTAAGGCACGACGGACGATAGGCAAAACACAACGTAGGACGAGAACGTAACGGATAGGAATAGGTCACATGTCACCTGAGTGACTCGGGTGACTTAAAAATATACTCACGTTTTTGTTGTTTGTTGTAGCAGAAATGAATTATTTTGACAAGAACGCACATAATGGTCAATATTGATAAAACGGAAAATGCCGCAATATAGCCAGTGCAAAGGCATTCATCTTGTCTACCCTGTTTCATTGCTCTTTGTCTGTAAATATTACAAAAACATTTTTAAAAAACAATATAGGAAAACCATTTTAAAGAGATATACATGCAGGAATATTGAAAACTGAAAGAAATACCTAGTTGATTTAACTAGTGTGCTTCGTAAAGCGTAAAAAGTGTGTCGTGTAAGTAATTGATTAAATTTTATTTAAAGTCGGACTATTTATACACATAACATAGGACATGAGCTTTAAAGCTCTTTTACCGACTAGAGACATAGAAAAAAAATTAGCACAAATAAAACTCGGATATAACACATCATATTATTATGCTGACTGTTGTTATTGTTTATGCGGCAACCCATTTGATTTTTTCCTGAAAATAATGGTGGTAACACAGCGCACTTGCAAAAACTCATTGAAAATCTTCATGTTAAAATTAGTTGCATGCTTAGTTATTTTGGTTACTAGTATTTTCTCTAAATAAGTCAAAATTTTCTGTCCCAAAGATACTCATATTTATTTTCTGTTTTGTTAGTAAGACTGATTTGTTTACAGACGTGGATTCTCATTGATAATTTTCTTTTACATCCTTCAATCAAGCGCTATATAAAAAAGCGTCTTAATGACCCCCTGATATCAATTCATCTAACGATCTGTATGTAGGCTAATTAGTTTGAAACTTTGTTGTACACATTTATCTAAGATTCCTTAGAATAAATATAACTGTTTTCAAATAATATTTGTCTATTTTCTCCTTCTTGTGTCAATTGTATAAATTAAGTTTATATATTTAATAAAATTCTGCCAATCAGTGATCGTCTCTGTGGCGTAATCGATAAGGCATCGGACTGGCAACCTCATGGTCGTGAGTTCGATTCCCGGTGTGTGCATTGATGAATTTTATTCAGAAAATAAGGCCGTGCACTATTTCGGCATAGTATGCTTACGCTATATAAATCCTTAGACCACTATGCGAGAATAGTAGGGTATGGGTTATATAGAGACAATCTGACAGGAAGCATAATAATTATATAATAGTGTTGCATTATGCATGTACTATGCCTAAATAGTAGGCAAGGTTTGACACATGGTGCACGAGCTGGATATGCATGTACTATGCCTAAATAGTAGGCAGGGTTTGACACATAGTGCACTCGCCTCCGGCTCGTGCACCATGTGTCAAACCTTGCCTACTATTTAGGCATAGTACATGCACAATGCAACACTATTATATAAATAGATACACTGTAGTGCAGTTAATTTATCTTCTAGTTCCAAAGTGAAATGTTCATCATTAAAATTTTTAAAACTTCTAAACATTTTTTCTTTGTTTCACTTTCTCTAATTTTAATATTTACCCGAACAGAAATAAAAGTATGACAGTCACTATTACCACTTCCAAAATTACATACTTTACCACGTTTATTATTTTCGTTGGTTATAATAACATCTAAAAGATATGGTTTCCCAATCTTAGTAAAACATGTTGCTTTTTAAATCATGTTCTTGACATCAATGTGTATCACATAATATGCCACATATTACAGAGCTTTCATTTTTGTCAGGCACGCTAAAAGTTAAACTTACTGCTACATCAGACGTTGTCTTCCATCTGAGGTGGCTTGTAAGCACCAACAAAGAACCATTTATGACCATTTAATGTTACCTCTATGCCCACTGACTCTATGTCTTTGAATTCAAGGGTGGGTTTATGGTCTTCTGCTACGTCTGATCTTAAGTATGGTAGCATATCTCCAACATGCTTACGTTGATCGGCCCACCATCAGGTGAAGGAAATTAAGTGCAAAATACAGTAACTATTTCATAAAAAATATTGAGAAAGTACTGAAATAAAGTTACTTTCGACAAATCCTTTTGCTGTAATTTTATTAGTTGAAACGTTTAGTAAAACAATTGTTATACATACTCTTTTCTATCAGTTCGTAGTTTAAGACATCTGATGTCCGCAATAAAACAGTTCTCAAGTATATTCAAACAAGCTGGATCTGTACTTAAATGACGATTTAAATAGTCATTCCAGATGCAACATTATTTTTAAAAAGCTTTAAAAAATTGTATTGACATATTTAACTTACAGTTATAGAGCTTGTTGCTGTTGTAGTCTTGATTAGGACAACCAAAAGAGAAATTTTTGCACTTGACATGGTTCAAAATACCAGTGTAAGCAAGCTCAAGACAATTACCTGAAAATACGTGCTTGGTTTTTTTTCACATTTGTATTGCAACACACAGGTATAAAAATCATATACTTCTATTAGTATTTAGAATCACCCTTTTACCTTTCTGGAAACGTTTAAATTTTCCGTCGGGGTAACAAAACTCTATAAGAGATGTGAATGTCTTATCAGGGACGCAGTGGTATCCATGTGAATCATTGCAATGTAGTCTGGTAGAGGCAGCATCCCATTCACTTTTGTCTCTTGGACATCTCTCAGTCGTATAAACAGGAAAAGAATAATCTGATAAGGCGTCTTCCTGAACGATATTTATGTTTTTCAGATCAATTTTAATTTCTTTTAGATTTATCTTACTACAAAAAGTATTTTGATCCAAAGACTGATATTTTTGTTTTAAAACAAAGCATTTTACAGACTACATAAGGTCAAACATCAAACATTTAATAAATAAAATTTTAGTGCAACAATTTATTTACCTTTGCTGTTAAAACTATCAAAATAGTCAGTAGCAACATCTTAAAGTTTTCCTGAGAATTCCTGAAATTAATCATGCCTTATTAGAAATGATTCAACATGGGGAAAAATCAATTTTAGCCAGATAGTTACTCTTGTACATAATCCAGCCTGGTGTTTTCCGGAGTGCTTGTTTTGTTCTCGATTTGAATAATTTATTTAATGTATGAAATTCACAACTGTTACTTATGTTCACTTAAAAGCACTATCTGTAATCAATTAAGGCACATTGATACTCTCATAAGAGAGATAACTCTTAATGACACAAATGTCTATTATTCCCTTATAAATTTGTCAAGTTGAAGTGCCCTTTTTGTCAAATTTTGACCCGCCAGCCATGCTATAAATATTTGTATTTTATGCAACATATAAATTTCCTTTGGAAAATCATAAAAGTTAAAGAAAAATTTTATATGAGTGAGCAGAGGGTTTATAAACCTTAAAGACTAAGTTTTTGATGTCATACACAACTGTTTTGTCTATTTATGAAGCATAATACCAGGTATACCGGGTGTAAATTTTCGAAAATACAGACGTCTCTTGCAGCTGTCTTTAATTAGACATTCAGATATCTACGTCGTTTTATCAATTAACAATATTCAGTGTCTTTATACCTCAGCTTAAAAGGCTGTAGGGTACATGTATGTAGTGATCGGGATGTCAGTCCGTCTGTCCGGCCGTCTGTTTGTTCGTTTTCCAGTCCGTCCGACTGTTGCGCACTGGTGTCACCCATTTCTTATCAACACTGATTGAAATTTAATGAGACTTTCACAGAATCTTTGTTACACCGTCACACTAAGACCTCCTATCTTAGTTTTGGGTCCGACACATTTTTGGGGGTTCCCATAGAAAAAAAAACATGGACACTGATATTTTCTCTATGATATCGAAGGAGGGTACCTCTTGAAGGGTACCTATCTCTTATCCACAACTCCTGTATACCATGACTAAAATTAAACGAAACTTTCACAGACTCTTTATTATATAATGTCATTGTGACCTAATATTTTACTTTTTGACATGACACTTATTGTAGGTCTCCCACAGCAAAACATAAACTTAAATAATTTACAAATACAACCATATGATGGACAAGGAATATCATTAAGTTAGCTCTGTGCTCACAGTATCTCTAGTTCAATAGATAAATTACATCGAAATAACGATTCAAAATTTTCTTGTACATCTCTTTCCTAGCGGTTTTGATATATGTATTTCATTAGAAATCTCTTGATTTTTTTCCCCTGAAATTAAGTGTTAAAAACCAATTGTAAAACGTACACGGACTTTAAATATAGGGAAAAAACCAATGTATCTATATTGGGGCCAGTCACTAAAAAACTTATAATATATACTGAGTGGGCTAAATCCTATACTGGTTTGAGTACTTTGGCCTTTGACCTTTGACTCTGTGACTTCACAATAAATTGGCGTCTCGTGCTTTCTTATATATACAGATATATTTCAATATTTTTTTTATTAATATACGTACTTTCGTTTTGTGCACACTGGGTATAAACCGTTATATTAATAATCAATTCATAAACGTTTTAATATGAATTATTTGAAATTGGTGAACTATGAGAAAAATATATTTTTTGTTCATATCCTCACAAAAAAAAGTGATCAAATGTTAAATTTAAAACTTACCAATTTGTTGTTCGTCTAGAGATAATACCATGCTATTAAGTAATTTACCTATGTATCATGTCCATACTTATCTACGTATTGTAAAACGCATAGTTTAACCTGAAGAATTTAACACGGATGATTGACAAACAATTGACAAAGAAGTCAGGGTATATTTTATAAAACCACAAAGACGGGGGAAGTTGAATTTTTTGTGCAGTTTTAGCCGTATTGATTTTCTGCAAATGATTATTGTTGTTCCATGCAACAAGAATTTAAAAAAAAAAATGTAAAAAGATCAGAGAACTTATTGTTCTTGTGCAAAGTCTGAATCGGCTTATTTTGTGGTGTTTAGGGATATCATAAAAAGTATTGTCTATAAAATCCTGTATTTCTAAATAATAAATTTCGAGTGGTCTTATTTAAACTATCCAACTGCAGCAATATTTTTTTACCTTGACTTTTCTTTGACCTTCACTTAACTTTTCTTGAAATTATTTTTAGCTTTCTTTTAAAGATACCATTCAAGTTGTGTAATGAATCGTCACATGATGATGCATACTGATGTAAGCTATACAATGCTTCACTCTTTTTTTACCTTGACATTTCCTGTGACCTTGACCTCACTTTTCTAAAATTAATGTCTAGATCAGTTTTGAATAAACAATTCAAGATATATTTATGAAACTTCATATGCTAATACATACTGCTGAGAGCTATTAATGCATCAACTTATTTTGACCTTGAATTTTCTTTTGGCCTTGACCTCACTTTTTAAAATATGTGTTTATCTAAGTTTTAGATAATCCATTAATTATATTTTTATCAAACTTCATATGCTAAAAGTAAATTCACACTGATGTAAGCTTTTCAACAGCAACAACATTTT